AAAAAATTCGAAGATTCAATTAATTTCCATTGAATGATGACAGTATCATTTTCATTTAGGGTGTGAGTGGCTGGCTGGTTGTGGATACATTAGTAGTCGATACGCACCCACAGCCATACGGCACACCCACCCACGCACATACTCACGTCCAAAATGTAACTTCTCATTTAAAACGGTCATGCTCGTTTAGCTGTTGTTAATCGAATCATTGGAAGAAAATGGCGTTGAGTTTTTCATTACTATTCATTGTCTCGTTTTGACAAATGCTAATTACCTCTCATTATACAGTAATGAATATGAATCTTTTTACTCCATCTTAATAGAATTTTATCGGAAAAATACTTTTTGTTTCATTCTTTCTGATTACTTTTGTACACTCCCCTAGCACATGTTCTATCGTTGCTATGTATAGTCCTTCTCAATGGAGCGCATATTTGATAAGAGTTGGAAGAAAAAAGCCAAAAAAAAAGAATCCAAAGCAAACAAAAACACGAACATAAAGCGTTGTCATACTATAACAATAAGAAACGAATCATTTCAATAAAAGCAAACAAGCCGTCTACCACGCAACGAATATTTCAAGAAACAATTATAACAACATAGTAGTGAATTTATTTACAACATTTTCGCTTCAACTACGTGACTTGGGTGAGCAAAATGAGTAGAAAAAAATTGAAGATCAAAAGAAACTATTGGGAGTATTATATATTAGCACTAAGACATGGCAAACAATCTACTTCATTGTTTCTTTCATATTATTCACCAGTTTTAGTTATCAAAGAGATAGAGAACGATCATCCAAGCATGATGTAATTGCAAATTTAATACGACCACGCAGAAAAAGAAAATGAAAACAATAGTAAGATTTTAGTGTGAATAAGAATAACAGTGAAAGAGTTTTTCATCACGAAATTAATCTACAGAGATAAAAATCAGAGAGCGATGTGCAGAAGTGCAGATAGATAGTATCACCTCAATCAATTATTTCAAGTAGTTACCAGAGCAAACTTCAACGCTCAAAGTAATGTGACACATTAAAAGCCAGCCAATTCGTATCACAAGACAATATGTCAAAATCTTAGCGGTAGAACTTCCACCCGAATAGTCGTGAGAGAAGCAAAGACTGAAAAACTTTGAGTTACGTGATTGTGCTTCGAAATCAGTGAGCGAAATGTTGATCTTTTTGTCAGTTTCCTCACGACAACAGAGAAACCCACACAAATACCTATGAGACAAATTCGGACACTAGCGCAGTTCGTCAGCTTGAAGGCTAAACGTTTGAAGTACGATGCGCAGCACTGTGAATCATGACGAAAAACTGCTGTTCTTGCAAACACGAGTGATAGTAGTGCCACAAAAGCTACAATCTCTCATTTGTTTCAAAAGTTGTCAGTGACGTAGGAATCCGTAAAGCGGTATCATAAATATGCTCGGTTCATTGATGCATGTGTCTAAATGAGGGCGAACAGTGTTCGACACCACAAAAATATATGCCATAAGCAGAGACGACGGAGCTATGGGGACTGATTTAACAGTTTTGCCCACGTAATATTTGAATAGGAAGCAAAATTTGCTAGTTGTTTGAATGTTACGTAGTCATGTTGAGCCTACCCAAGCTCCATAGGCTTCGCCGCTTCTGGCCATAAGGAAGCCCAACAGCTGCAGACTTTCCGTCCATTTGGCTAAATGATCGCGAAGAATATCATGTCGCACTGCCGTGTTTGAGACTTACATCAATATCGTTAGATTGCAGACTAGCACGTAAGAAAAGAGAAACATTGATCGAAATGATTTTGTAGCGCGTAGTAGTCTCAGAGGGTGTGGGTAAAAATTTGGCACACCCACACTCAACCCATACTTCACGCCTACATCTCCACAACCACAACCACACCCACACTCTACCCATACCCAAGCAGAGGAAAGTTACTTTCATTGTCAAATGAAAATATCTATATAGCACCATAAGTACACACAAAACGATAAAAGTGAGAATTAAAATGCATTTTAGATTTCTAAGAAAATTTATAAAATCAAAACAACAATATTTACAAAAAAATCCGTTCGATTTTATCTTTTTCATTAACATGGCCACTGGTATTTCATCAACCAATCTTTTTTACACAAAATCTGATGAAATGCATCTCGAAATTTTCTGCCTCGTCTGGCTCGATGCTGGTTCAAGCGCCAAAGACGGTCGTGATACTGAACAACAATTACGTTCCATCATTAATCATCTTAAGAAATTTCAAGATGTATCCCAATGTCAAAAGTATATTCATGAACGATCGCCAAAAGAACGAGTAGTTATGATTGTTAGTGGACAATTGGGACGAGAAATCGTTCCTTTCATTCACAATCTTCGACAAGTCATATCAATTTATGTCTATTGTTTCGATAAGAAACGTAATGAACAATGGGCTTGCAAATATGCAAAAGTAAAAATTAAATCGAATGCTTTCGATTTTATTTTAACTTTTTATCATTGATAGGTAAGAGCCGTTGTGGTTGAACTTAATGAACTCGTTTTTCGAATTAAAGCTGATCATAAAATTCAGAAAATGGTCGAAGAGCCATTATCAATTAATATTTTTACTATAGGTGGCGACACAGGCAGTTCAACAACAGGTTTAAATGGTGAATTTGTTTTTTCACAAGTTCTGATTGATTGTCTTATCCGATTACGATACACCGAAGCAGATAAAAAAGAACTTATTCATCTTTGTAAACAACAATATAAAGGTAATACTGTTGAGTTGAGTAATGTTCGTGAATTTCAAGACAAATATTCACCTGACAAGGTTTTATGGTGGTACTCACGAGAATCGTTTTTTTACAAAACTCTTAATGCCGCTCTCCGTGCCCCAGCAGATATTCACACAATATTTTTGTTTCGTAACTATATCACTGATATTCAACATCAATTAGAAAATCATCAAGCTAAGGATCCTGTTCGAGTTTATCGAAGTCAAATGATATCAACTAATGAACTAGAAACTTTGAAGCAATGCCGTGGTCAATTCATATCCGTGAATTCATTTTTTTCAACCAGTATTGATAAACAACTAGCTCTATCGTTTCTCAAGGTTCCTCATGGTACAGAAAATTTAGAAGCAGTATTATTTCAAATTGATGCCGATCCTAGGATGGGAATTACAAAACCATTTGCTGATATCACTGAATATAGTGAATATAAAGATGAAGCTGAAGTGCTCTTCATGCTTGGTTCTATTTTTCGATTGGACAGTGTCAATCGAAGTAAACATGGTCAAGTATGGATCATACAGATGACATTGTGCAATGATGATGAACATGATTTAAAACAAGTTCTTATGGATATGAAAGAGCAATTTGTGAGTGAAGAAACAAATCTTCAGAAATTAGGAAAAATATTATTGGAGATGGGAAAGCCTGATCTGGCACAACAATACTTTATTCGCATGTTAGAACAACTTTTACCCAATGACCCTTTACGTATTGATTTGTATTTGGATCTTGGGACGCTTGAGTCATATGCCGGTCACTTGGACAAGAGTATGGAATGGCGGCAAAAAGCAAGTGCACTCAAAAAACAAATTCAATCTACTTCTTCTAGCGTTAGTAAACAAAAGAATCCTATTGGTAAGTTTATCGAATAACATAATCTATTACATTAAAATGGAAGTTCTATATCTATATTTTCATATCATGATAGTCGTGTTAAACGAATGGAAGATCTTCTTACACTATAACTAATAGATATAAACTCAGTATAAAGGATAGCCCATAAGTCGTGACTTGATTTGAATCATATATTTTTCGATAGAAAAATAAGTGATTGTGAATTTCTTTGTATAAGGAAAAGGTACAGTAATGCATGCTCTGCAAAGTAACTATCGATTAACTTCGTTAGCTCAAATAGTAAGAAAATGATGACTTCAGGGAATCTTTCAGGGCATAAAAATTTTCTTTTACTTAAAATGTTTACTTTCTTTTAAAAGACAAACTTTGTGTAATGAGTTTTACGATCAAAATCTATCTCAATCAATCTAATGAGTTCAAAGTGAGTTGAGTGCTCAAGTTCTATTCAGTCTTTTTTTCTGCATATAATGTTATAGAGAGCTCAGCGTTAATTTTTATTTTCGCTTGTGGAGTCAATCGGTAGTTATTTTGGAAAGCATGTTTTATTGCATCTTTGCTTCATCGACACAAGTTTACAACTACTTATTTTGCAACCGAAAAACTTATTATTCAAATCAAGTCAGGATTTCTGAGCCATCCTTGATATGCAAGGAGGGCTCAAGTATTAGCTACAATGGCACCCATTCTTTATTAAAGCATCCAAGGTGTTAACTTTTTATCTATTCAATGATAATGTCGTAGACTATTTATTGACGTATTCTTTTATTACTATGATGTTTATATGAGTAGAGATTAATTCCAATTTGAGGCTTTACTTTTTTTTGAATCATAGTAACTAATATCAATTTCAAAATAAAAGAAGAATGAGTATTTCTGGAATAATTTTTTATTGGGATCGGATAGCGATCTGCGGTCTCCAACGTTTCAAAAAGGGAATGAAACTTCATCGAATCTTGAATATCAGATTTTCTAGTCATGTTTTCTCAGGGCTACTAGTCACGTTTTCGGAAAATCTAGAATTCTTAATAGATTGAAAACGTGAAGTTTTCGTCAAAAAAACAGACAGAGTCAACTTTTCATGAAAAATTTGCCAAAAACAGCTACTTCTCGTTTGTAAACATGATAAAATTCAACTTAGCGAAAATAGCTTTTTCTGTAAATTGTCGATTGATTCCAAGTCAATAGTTTGCTTATTTTTTTGAATGATCGAATTCGACAGTTCAATTTAAAAGATTCAATGATTTAGGACGCACATGGAAAATTTAACATTTTAAAAACCTTCAACAAAAACTTGCTTAAACACTAGATGATGTAACTTGTAGAGGCCGTAGGTTTCAACTACAAAATATTCTCAATGTTTAAGATCTTCTGTGATTTGTAGAGGATGTAAGTTCTCTGTTGAATCTAGATTTTTATTATCAGAACACTTAGTGTGATTCATTAATGCGATCGTTTCATTTCAATTCATTTTTATTCTCTTACACGTTGTGATAAAACCTATGAAGTTTGTTAGCTTGTAACCAAAGAAGTTTCTTAGTCATGTGAATTGGATGTGAAACGTACAATGATTTAAATACTGTATACCATAATATGATGCTTTTTCAAAAAATAATTTTCAGATGCTATATAAGGTACGAACCTATTCGTATACTAAATGTTGACAAAAGTAACCTAAGCATCAAAACAAACTATCATTACCAGTCTGACTTTTGATATTTTTTTGAAAAATAAAACTTTTGAGTCAATATGAATCAGTTCATTGTTTCTTTGTATCCATTATAAGCAAGTACTCATAATGTTCAAGCAAGGATCGCAACAAGAAACTTCAATACAGAAAAATTTGAATCGAAATCGAAACTGATACTAGGTAGCTTGATTAACTAACTATTTTTATTAGCAAAGTAGCATTATTCATGGCTTCGCGTGAACTGTGCCAGTGGCCGGTATGTGAGGCAACTTTTTAAAATTTTGAGTTGTATAGGGCTAACACTCGAATTCTTTCGACTCTTCATGACTGTATTGTTGAACTTTGATCTCTTTCGCACTCTCTTGCGATCATAATTTCTTTATCAGCAATCAAAAACGTGAGAAGGAGATAGCATGTAGTCATAACCTATCTGGTCCATTATATTTTGTTGAAAGTTGAACAGATCTACACATATACATTGCAGCCGACTATATCGTATAGAATGATATATTTATTACATTTTTTCGAAAAATTAGCTATGTATCCCGCACTGTACATATTTGGATTCCTTTTTTCTGTAATCAATAGAGAAAATAGTTCAGATATTGAAAAAATCAACGAGTCAGAGCAAGAACATATTAAACATCATGCAGTGTTGTGTTGAAACAACAGTTGAGCTCTCGGTACTTGAAATCATGCGATCAATACGGTTCTCGAACCACGTCCAAAAGCATCCTGAAAGATGCATTTTGCACTCCTGGTACCAAAATCCAGATAGAATCTGACTAATTTCATTATTGCATTATTTGAAACGATGTTCAGAGTTCATCATATAAATCCTGAAAAGATTTAAGGTTGCATAAGATTAGTATTACTCTGGTCAGTATTTCAGAAATGCTTCTTCCCAAACAAAAAAAACTTTCCAGGAGTCTCAAAGGATTCTCATAAGAGCTGTTACGAAGTTCTTTTCTTTCAAAAATAAGCTAGGTAAAGTTTTTCTAGTTTATATCTGTTGGGGAGAACTTATCCATTTTTAGAGTATGTTCCGAGAGCACATTCTAGAAAATTTTATCAAGTTCTCTTCGAAGAAGAAGAATATTTTATTTGTAAGCAACAACTGTGATGATTTTTTTTCTTTTTCTCATTCATTGTAGTGACTCTCAATAATCCAGTCAATGCCTGATTAGCACAGAGTAGAACCTGCAGTTGTGTAGGGAAAGTTTCGAAACCTTCATGGATCAAATCTTCGTGACAATAACAACCATGTTTTAACTTAGAGAAAGGTTTTCGGAACAATCAATACATAAGCATTAGAGCGGGACCCCAATAGAATATTGTCTGAATTTTTAGGATTTCCAATTTTCAAAGAGGTTATCACTACTTAGTCATTAAGATGCGTTCCTACCTTCTTCAGACACTAGTCTGAAGCTAGCTTTATTTATAACTTAATAATAACTTTTAGAACATTTTCTCACTTTGGTGCTAAAATCCAATCTTTTCAAAGTCCGCCTAAAATCTATAGATCCCTACGTTTTACTATGAAGAGCTCCGATACACTTAGTATTGCACTACTCGGTACCATAGAAGTAGAAAGTATTTATTTCCAACTATTTATATCGGACACTTCTAACTATCCTCAGGCTTAGACCAATACAAACCTACTATTGATCTTCCTAGTATCCCATCGGGATTCTCCTTGAGAAAGTTATGCATAAGTTGAGCAAAAAATCTAATAAATATTACCTCCTTCCAGTAAGCAAGTATTAAGGAGTATCTTCAGGAGATTTGCATTAATTATCCGGAACATCACGTAACGAGGAGTTTTGTCCAACTATGTTAAAAGCAATCCCAAATACATGCTGATCAAGATGAAGATCCGATTTCTGAGTACTCCAGAACCCTCACTCGTCAAATCCTCTCTAACTACATACTCATAGAATCTTCTTAGGGCTTTTTCAGTTTTGACATTTGACAACGTTCTTTATATTCTAACATGAATGCAAATCCTTCAGAAACTTTAGTCCGCTGCTCTCATTTCTGATACTCATTGGTAAAGTTTTGCCTTAGAAACTAAACATAAAATCCTCAGACCTCCATGCTTTTCAATCCAATAAGTAACATACTATTAGCATTAGACTTCTCAGAAGTTTCAAGAATGCTAACTCCGGCATTAACCCGTTTACTCTATTCTCAAAAAACTTCAAAATATTGTTTGTCTTCAGTATACGTTATTAGAATCCTCTCAGATGCCTTCTTAGGAAGAGCTTTCCACAATTTAGTAAAAAGTCTTAAAATCAGGTAATCAATACGTTTCTCGAACATCTTAGGAGCAAGACCCAGATAGAATCTTCTCAGTTTTTTTCAGTGTATCAACCTGACTAACTTCATTATCCTCAGTTCATCATATAAACGCGAGAAAAATTTAACATTGCTTAAGGTTAGTATCACTCTTCTCAGTATTCCAGAAATGCTTCTTCTTGACAAAAACTCTTTCCATGGATCTCAAAGGATTCTCATAAGAATTGCTACGAAGTTCTTGTTTTTGTTGCATAGAAAACTAAGAAAAGGCTTCCCAATTTATATCTGTGGGGAAGAACCTTTTACTTTTTTAAGGATATGTTAGTGAAAGGACATTATCGAGAGTTGTAATAAGTTCCTGTAGAAGAAGAATATCTTATTCGTAGACAACGACGATAATGATTTCTTTTTTTTCGTTCATCGTAGTAATTCCCAATATTCCAGCCGATGCACGATGGGCACAGAATGGAGAAACCGTTGCTGGAGGCCACGGGCATGGTAATGCCACCAATCAACTCTCGCACCCTGAAGGTCTCTTCATTGATGATGATCAAACGATGGTCATCGTTGACAACAAGAATCATCGTATCATCCAATGGAAGATGGGTGCTACGAATGGACAAGTGGTAGCTGGTGGCAATAGCTACGGATATCGATTGGATCAATTGAATGATCCAACCGATGTGTTGATCGACAAAGAGACGGATAGTCTGATTATTTGTGATCGAGGAAATCGACGAGTGGTACGATGGTCACATCGTAGTGGCACAACTGAAGGAGAAATCCTCATTGATAACGTTCTATGTTGGGGTTTGGCCATGGATGATCAGAGATATCTCTACATCTCTGATATCGAAAAACATGAAGTAAGACGATATCAAATAGGAGATAAGAATGGAACTCTTGTGGCTGGTGGTAATGGCATAGGTGCTGGCTTCAATCAACTCAACAATCCGTCGTACATCTTTGTTGATCGACAACAGACTGTCTACGTATCAGACAACAACAATCATCGTGTGATGAGATGGGATAAAGGTGCAAAAGAAGGAATCATCGTCGCTGGGGGTCAAGGCTCAGGAGAATCTCTGAAAGAATTAAGGAATCCTAACGAACTCTTAGTTGACACATTAGGCACCATTTATGTATCAGACACTAACAACGAGCGCGTGATGCGTTGGCCTAAAGGAGCAAAACAAGGCACTCTCATTGCAGGTGGGAATGGTGATGGAGAAAAAGCAGATCAACTCAATAGTCCAAGAGGTTTGTCCTTCGATCGACAGGGCAATATTTATGTCGCCGACATGAACAATAATCGTGTGCAACGATTTTCTATTAAATAGACTCATTACGATGGATTATTTTTTTCCTGCCTTTCCTTCAAATAAACGACGATAAATTAACGACATGAATGATTATTTTATTCGTGAGCAACCAGGAACCAGCCTGGTGGAGCTGTAGCGAGCGTACAGCTCTTGCACGTACGGAACATACTCAAATCACTCACATGAGATGTGTCAAAGAGTCTGAGGAAAGCTCGGTCGTGTGTCACGAACACCAATATAGTTTCCAGTCGAGCTTTTAAGGTCAACCTGGAAGGCTTGAATATTAAACGAGAACCTCACAGAGACTAACTCACCCCGTCTCACTCTAACAAAGTGCCCTAACACTTCTTTAGCTCTATGTAACCTCATCCCTTTCTACTCCGCCTAGGGTGTGGGTGTTTGTCAAGAGATGACTCACTCCCATACTCACACATCTTCAAGCCCGCATCCACATCCACTTACATCCACAAAAAAACGAAAAGTATTTTCCGCTGTTTTTTGAAGATAGCCTAGTGCTCGGGTAGGTGACTATGGAAATCATCCAAAAGTTGGGTGTGGGTGTGTGGATGTGTGGTGGATGTGGGTGTATGGATATGTAGTGTGTGCGGGTGTTGGTGTGGATGAGTGGGAGTGCATGTATGGGTGTGACGTGTCGGGTGTGGCTATGGATGTGTATATGGGTGGATGTTGGTGTCGATGTATGGGTATGTGTCTTAGTGAAGACAATTCCCACACCGACCCACACTCTCACACCGCCTTCTATCGGAAGACCTTTCGATTAGGCCCCAAAAGCTCGGCCAGAAATTGTCTTTACGTCCATGACACACGACCGAGCCCACCAGACTCATTGACACATCTCATTTTTGATGGGAGCGTGGATGATATAAGTCTTCCCGTGCGTGCATAAATTTCACACTTGGCACGGCTCCACCAGTATGGTTTCTGGTCGCGCGTGCATAAAATAGAATAGAAATTATATTCATTTGTGATTATTTATTTGATAGAAAGTGAAGAAAAAATAAACAACATCATTGAGTCTATTCAATGTCAAATTTTTGTATTCGATGATTGGACTGATCGGCGACATATAAATTACCATGTCGATCGAAGGACAAACCATAGGGATAGGACAATTGATTTGATCCTGATCCTGAACCATTTCCACCAGCAATGATAGTTCCCTGTGTAGATCCTTTTGGCCAACGCATAATTCGATGATTGGATCGATCAACCACATAGACAGTACCCAGTTGATCAACAACGATCCCTAGTGGACCATTTAATTGTGTAAGATCACATCCAGATCCTTGACCACCGGCTACGACAATACCCTGTTTTGCACCTTCTTCCCATTTCATTACACGATGATTCGCATTATCTGACACGTATACTGAGTGATCTCGATCGACAAATACATAATAAGGGTCCGAGAGTTGATCGAGACGATTTCCTTGTCCATTGCCACCTGCAACTAAAGTTCCTTGATTTTCACCAGTTCGAAATCGTTTCACTTCATTCTTATCATGGTCAACAACATAAAGACATCCATTGTCATCCATTATCAAGCCAACACAACAGATGTTTGAAATAATTATTTCTCCACTAGTGCCATTTCGACGAGGCCATCGAACTACTCGTTTATTCCTGTAGTCGGAGATGATGAGACTATCTCGTTCTTTATCGATAATCACATCTTCTGGATGGTTTAACTGATTAGCTACATTTCCCTTTCCACCAACAATAACTTTGCCATTCGTCGCACCCGATTTCCATTCCATTATGCGATGATTCGATTCTTCAGCAACATAAACTGTTTCCTCATCATCAACATACAAACCCCAAGGGCAATTGAGTTGATTGATGCCATTGCCTTCTTCATTTCCTCCAGCTACAGTAACACCAATTTGCTTCCATTTTGCATTTGGATGAATGTCAATTGAGCTTGAGCGTAGTGGTGCTAAAATGAATCCAAAATTATTATAAGAACGAAAAACTCATTTCGAGGAAATCGGCATTTCTTTTCTCTTCATAACAAAAAACGAAATTTGATTACGTAGCTCATTTGTGACTAAACTATCTAACATTTTTTATTGATACTATTAAATACTTGACAGGTGAAATTCCAAATTGAATAACAATAGAATTCAGTCACCGAAATTATTTAGTTTTTTTTTCCTATTTTGACTGTTGACGATATTTAAAACAAATAAAAGACGTAAGAGATAAAAATAAAAGCGAAGCATGTCAGTGTCCTATTGGTTATACAGTAATGAATAAGTTACTGCGTTGCTTTTATTTCGTATTTCTCGAAAGAATTGGCTTTGTGATTGGTTTGTTTAAAAAATCTCTGTTGATGCGACATTTAATATAAGAACATCTGAAATTACCAAGAGGAACAAAGCAGACTTCTGTACTTCTGACGTACCATGAAGTATCCTGAAGTATATGAAGTACTGTGGAGTACATAAATTTTTATAGTAAGATAAGATGAGACAGTTTCTGTTGGCTGAATGTACTTCTTCAACAGCAAAAAAAACAAAACCATAAGACAACAAGTGGCATCTAGGTTAATTTTTTATATTTTATTTCCATAATAGATCATTTAAATTCTTATCGTATATGTTGTTTTCAATTTGTTGATGTTGCTATCATGAAATGACGATGATTTTTTTAATGAATATTAACATTTCTTACTGTTTTATGTTCAGCATTAATCCTTTTTTTTATCTATAATTGTGACTAGTATTAATTTTCTACTATTGTGTTATATGTCGTTGTTATGAGAAAGTGAAAAGCCTTAATTTTCTTTCTCTCTTTGAAAATATTAGTGCATAAGAAAAAGCTTAACAAGAGGATTGGTACTCTGTTTTTTTAACTGTAAATTCTACTTTTGTTGTTTGTTTATCTGTTGTAAATCGAAAAGCAAGTGTTGTAAAGAGAAGCTGTCTATAGTTTTCTTTCATTTCTGAAAACAAAACCACTTCACATATACATGTCAAGAAATAGGAAGGGCTATGGCGAAGTACAACGAAGTATACGAGTATAGAAATCTGCTTTTTCTCTCTTGGAAATTTTCCAATGAAATACTATCTATGGTGTTATGGTGTTTAATGCAGTGGTAGATCCAGAGGAAGAATATTAGATAGAATTGTCTGTTCTTTCAGAAGTTTTTGGATGCGACACCAGATTCATACTATAAAACATTTTTCACCGTTACCTTTTATAAGAGAAGAAAGTAAGCGTGTTTGTAGTTTTTGTAAAACTTTTTGTAGAAAAACTCAGTTCTTCTTCAATACATTTAATATAAGAGTCTTGTCTGCAAAGCAAGACTTTGAATATCAGGCTAGAATCCGGTAGACAGTCATCTAAGATGCTTTCATCTGAAAAGACTTTTGCATTTCTTGAAAGTTAGATCCAATTCTTTTTTATCTCAAAATAGAGCAATATCTTCGACAATCTAGAAAGTTTTGTGCGTTTTATTTTCATTATTATCATGAAACTATTTTCACTGATGTTTTATTGTTGAAGTTTTACATGAATTAAAATTATGAAAAAATGCATAGATAAATAATATGACAAGAAAAGTGAAATACCGATAAAAAAAATAAGTAGAATTAATAAACATTTTCATAAAATTTTCATCAAGTATATTATAAAAAACATAAGAGAAAAACAAAATCGTTTGCTAAATGTTATCTTATTTCTATAGCATACTAACGATGTAAAACACATTGTTGAAATGAGCGACGAAACCCATATAAACGATTCATATAGAGATTCAAGAAAGACAACATGACTGCCTATCTTTTCATTTTGACTAGAATATTTTATAGTTCTATTAATTCATATAGGTAATTTTGCTTGAACTTCAAGATGAAAACAAGTTTCAGTGATAAATCAAAAAGAAGCGGAAAAGAATGAAAACAGAATACAAACTGCTAAATAGATATAACTACATGTTTTCCTGGTTTTTCTACAGCATAAAAAAAAACATTACGTGTAATAGAACTAGGGTGGAGTGTAGGTGTGGGTGTTACTCTTAGCCTGACCCACACCCACACCCTAGGACCCGGATTTGTTTTTCGCAGTGTAGAGATATAACTGTATTACGGTGTTGAAAAGGTGAGTTACGTTATTGGTATACGGTCGTAATACGGCACATACCAAAAAAGTTAAAATACGGCGCGTATACGATCGTTTACGTCATTTAAACGACCTTGTACGGTCGTATCAGGTCGTCGTAATGCTCATTCTGGGTTCTCAAGATGCTTGAATTCAATTTAATACTTAATGAGATTTTTCTCAAACTCTAGAAAATGACTTTCTTTTCATTGAGTAATATGACACACAATACAACTAACTGGTAATTCCTTTCAAAAGAAAATATTATGAGAGTATGACTAACATATCTGTTTTTTCATCATTTCCATTTTCGTCAATCGGTCATGTTGATTAACGCATTCTCTGTGATAATATTCATGAAGAAATTTTTTCTAAATTTACTTGGCTAATATTTATTGCATCTTTTAGCGTCGAAATTATCATTTGTGTCAAATTCATTAGAAATGAATACCTGATACGGTTCCAACTCATTGATAGCACTGATAGTTACCAATTTTCTAGTCTATTTTATACAAACAAGATGCTTCTAATTAACTGCTTCAATTTTCAACCGTTTATCATACAATTCCGAACCAGTATCTTTATATCAATAGGCTAACGTGATATCGATCATCTATTCTAAATATGACAATGCTTTGGGCATCTCATGGCTATTCTAACTTCGAATGTATTTGAAGAAGTGATACCGCCTTGATATACGTTTCAATAATTTCCAACATGTTGTCGATGATAGTAAACTAAGTGCTTGGTTTGAATTATAAGAATTATAAGCGAGATGAAATTCTATCTTGTTTGGTCCCATCAAGATGATCGCGTTCTTCCAATCATTAGAATAGTAATTGAGATAGAAATTCGACGCTTTTGACTTTTTCTATCAAGCCAGTATGAATGCCATTTTTTTTTGAACTTCTCATTTATATTCGGACTGAAATTAGGCAGCTACTCTCTTTAATAGAATGATGGTTCTGTCATACACAATTTCACTTATAGGTACTTTTTCAATGATTATGAACACTCTTAAATCTGATCAACAATTTAGTTCTCAATACGAGGTATGCATTTTTTTTCAAGACTTTTTCATTTCAGATGGTTTTATTGGATATTTACTCTTATTCGATTATGGT